GAGTGACCCAGAGTGACCCAGAGTGACCAACGACCCCCCCTGTGCACCCGGAGCCACGCACGGCAGAACCCCAAATTCACACCCTGTCCCAGGCCGGGGAGGGGGACACGAGGGGACACCCCCAGAATGACCCTGAGTGACCTTGAGTGACCCAGAGTGACCCACGGCCACCTTGAGTCCCGGCCGCGCACCCGGAGCCCTAAACACGGCAGAGCCCAAAACTCAGACCCTGTCCCAGAGCGGGGGGTGGGGGACATGAGGGGACACCCCCAGAATGACCCTGAGTGACCTTGAGTGACCCAGAGTGACCCTGAGTGACCCAGAGTGACCAATGAGCCCCCTGAGTCCCAGCCGCGCACCCAGAGCCCTAAACGCGGCAGCGCCCCAAACGCGGACCCTGTCCCAGGCCTGGGAGGGGGACACGAGGGGCCATCCCCAGAGTGACCCAGGGTGACCCAGAGTGACCCTGAATGACCCAGAGTGACCCAAAGTGACCCAGAGTGACCCACGGCCACCCTGAGTCCCGGCCGCGCACCCGGAGCCACCCGCGGGGGGGCCCTAAGTGCAGACCCTGCCCCAGGCCGGGGAGGAGGACACGAGGGGACACCCCCTGAGTGACCCAGGGTGACCAAGAGGGACCCACGGCCACACTGAGCCCTCACCCCGCACTCGGAGCCCCAAACGCGGCAGAGCCCCAAACGCAGACTCCTGTCCCACTCTGGAGAGGGGGGACACGTGGGGACACCCCTAGAGTGACCCTGAGTGACCCAGAGTGACCCTGAGTGACCCTGAGTAACCCTGAGGGACCCACGGCCATCCTGAGCCCCCACCCCGCACCCGGAGCCCCAAACGCGGCAGAGCCCCAAACGCAGACCCCTGTCCCAGGCCGGGGAGGGGGACACGAGGGGACACCCCCTGAGTGACCCAGAGTGACCTTGAGTGACCCAGAGTGACCCAGAGTGACCCAAAGTGACCCAGAGTGACCCACGGCCATCCTGAGCCCCCACCCCACACCCAAAACGCGTTTGGAACCCCAAACGCGGCAGCGCCCCAAACGGAGACCCTGTCCCAGGCCGGGGAGGTGGACACGTGGGGACACCCCCAGAGTGACCCAGAGTGACCTTGAGTGACCTTGAGTGACCCACAGTGACCCTGAATGACCCACGGCCACCAGAAGCCCCCACTGCAGACCCAGAGCCACGCGTGGGGGGTCCCCGAATTTCGACCCGCAGGTTTTGGGGACCCCCCCCGCAGCTGAATGGGGGGAGATCCCGATGTTCCCCCCGACCCCAACCCCTTCCCAAGCCCCCCGCCCACCCCTCGCCCCCACCTCATCCCATCCCAGGCGCTCCTCGTCCAGCAGGATCCGCATCAGCTCCGGGATGGCCAGGGACGGGTGGGTGTCGTTCAGCTGGATCGCCACCTGCGCTGGGGACAGGGACACTCGGGAGGGGTCTGGAGGGGTCGGGAAGGGGTTTTGAGGTACCCCGGGTGGGATTTTGGGGGTTCACCTTGTCGGGGAAGGCGTCGAAGGCCGTTCTCACGGGGTCGCGGCAGCCGAATTTGGCGGATTTGAAGCGCCGGACGATGTCGTGGAGCGTGGCCGCCACCACGAAATATTCCTGCTTCAGCCGCAGCTCCTTGCCTTCGAAAAACTGGGGGTCCCCACCGTGAGACCCCAAAAAAATCACCCCAAAACCCCTCCTGCTTCAGCCGGAGCGCTTTTCCTCGAAAAAACTGGGGGATCCCCACCGTGAGACCCCAAAAAATCACCCCAAAACCCCTCCTGCTTGAGCTGCAGCACCGTACCCTCGAAAAACTGGGGGATCCCCACCGTGAGACCCCAAAAAATCACCCCAAAACCCCTCCTGCTTCAGCCGGAGCGCTTTCCCTCAAAAAACTGGGGGTTCCCCTCAGTAAAACCAAAAAAAATCCCCCCAAAATCCCTCCTGCTTCAGCTGCATCATTTTTCCCTCAAAAACCTGGGGTACCCTTCCATGAGACCCCAAAAAATCCCCCAAAAAATCCTTCCTGCTTCA